AAAAAAAAAAAAAAAAATGACCATCGGTCATTTTTCTTCCTACTCAATTAAATTGGACAAAATAGCAGGAAATAAAAGGAATGTTTCAAATTAATATCATTTAAAAAAATATAATTAATGATAAGTAAATTATTTTGTAATAAAAAATTGCTAAAAGCATTTAATGATTAGTTATGATTAATTTTATTAAAGCTAATTAGCATCCATCCTCCTATAATTATGTTAAGTAAGAAGAAATATAGGGAATGATAGACGATAACATTTTGTGATATTTAACTGTCATTTACCTTTTTTGTAATTTTTCCTTTTTTTTTGTTTGGCTGCTCTAGTGCTATTGACATATTTTTCTCGAGAAATTTTGAGTATTTGACAAAAAAAAAAAAAAAAAATTGGTTTAAACAGGTTGTTATTATCAGAGAAGTAGATTAAGGCGGCAGTGACCTTCAAAACAGCAAAAGCATCTGCCCGTTTTCAATCTCCAATTAAGGTAACCTCATTTTTTTTTTTCTCAAACGGGAACAAACAAACGTTTAATGCGGCTAAAGAGGTGTGACCAGGACATTGAATTCGTTTTTCTGGGTCAACTTCTTATCATAGTAAAGGTATATCACAAATCATTGCTATTCCTATTTTACTTATTTATTTATTTATTTATTTATTTTTGTCATCATTGTCAATCTATTTATTTGATCAAAAGTATGTATCAAACTTGATTCAAATATATGCTAAATTAAATTACTTTCATTAAATTTATTAAATTATTCTATTTCTATTTTAGCTTAGAATTATTTGAATGAATTACTATCATTGTTTATTTTTGTCATCCTTATTGAAAAACAGATCTGTATATTTTGTTATTGATCCGTAATATTGTCGCATTCATTTGTCACCATTCGAATCTATTATTTCTAAAGCATATGCTATGAATTAATTATTAGAGCATCGATAATATCTAAGTATCAAATACTTGTTTTTCTTTTTTTCGCTCAAAACAAAATTTAGAAGTTAATTTTTGTTCCATTCTCGAAATGAAAGAAGGAACGGGGAGGGGCGGGAAGCGGGAAGCGGGGAGCGGGAAGCAAGGATCGGGGATCAATTTCTAAGCTCTCATAGTTCTTCCATCAATCTTTAACCAATTGGAGTAGCATTTACATAATAAATTTAGTCTAGTAATTGATTATAAATTTATTAATCGAAGAATTTTGATGAAATACTTTTTTGATGATACTTCTTGCATTAATTATTGCTACTCGCTGTTTGCATGCATGCATGCATGCTGAAGTTGAAGTCATCAATTATTGCAATTGTCACAGGATTATTTCGATTTCTTTTTCATGATCACCAAAATATGTCATCAAATGTCTTCTTTTATTTAACATATAATATAATCAATGGAATTGGTCATTAGTCAAATTTAATTATGGATTATGGAAGGAATTATTTCTAACCTTGTATGTAGATAAAAAGAAAATTGTGGCGCAAATGAATATTTGAAAAATGCGCATTCAGTGATTCATACTTCAAATATTAATTATAAATTCAATTATTACACCATTTAATATGAAATAATTTTTGTAAAAATAATTCCTGCAATGTATTTCCTTCCAAGAAATCCCAAAATTCGGGGGTTTAACTCTATGATTTATTATGCTTATTTTACTGTAACTTATTAATTCCTATCAAATATATATTAATTTTTTCATTCTAATGAAAGTTTTGCAAAATGAAATACCATCGATAAGATTTTATAAAAAAAAAAGATTTGGTAGCATGAAAATATGCGAAAATGATTGATTCTATGATCAATCATACTAACAGAACAAATGAAAAAGTAATCAAATGTCACAGACAAAACAATAAAAGTAATAATGTAATTAAAGGAAATTTTTGAAATTAAAATTGTCACATGATCAAAAAAAAAAATATACATATATATAATGAAAAATAGCGCAGTTAATGGTGACATTAACTTGCAAGCAGTCTTTTTGCAATCCTCAACACTATTAACGGTTACGATAATGCGATCAAAATACTTGATTGTTACCGTAATCAGCATAATTTTGAAGTAATGGATAACGTTCATCCAATCTTACTGTCAATGTTGATGGTTCACTTGTTGTACTTCTATTAAACTGTAATATAAAATCAAGCTGGATTAAATTTACTGTAACATTGAATAGATTTAAAAGCTGTTTGTTGAAATCATGATAAAATGACTAAACGATAGGTTAAAGGTTAAAAAAAGAAATCAAATTAATTGTCTCTTATCTCATTAATTGTCACTTATTTTAGGTTTTGGATTAAGTTATACTTAAATTATCATGTTTAACAATGGCTACTATCAGTAATATTCAATCATCTTATATTTGTACATTTAGAAAGAAGGCAATATAATGAATTATACTTTAAGCCTTAATAAACTTTAAATAATAATTTTATTAGAAAAACAAAAGATAAATAAAATTAACCTTACCGGATCAAAGGTAAGATAACAACAACAACAACAACTTACCGGATCAAAGGCAAAATAACAACAACAATAATTTACCGGATCAAAAGGTATAAATAACAGGAATAACTTACCGGATAAAAGTCATACTGAATCATTACGCAAAACATAAAAGATGTCGCCAAAAATATGTAAAGAAGCTAAAATTTATACCAATAATTCATTTATGAAATTATAATAAAAATGCAAAATTTCCTGTCCGAAAAATTATAATTTAAATATAAATTAATTTCTCACATCATTAATTAATTTAAAACAATAATTTACCGCTTGAATAATATACAATGTTGACGAGTTGTCATCATTTATCTGATAGATAGAGGAATATGTTGAAAGAGGGACACATATAGCAGTACAAATTGTCATCACAAGATCATATATATATTGCTGAAAAATTTTAAAAACAATTATTAATATTTAAACGATTATATCATTTCTATAAAAATTTCAAATTCAATTTAAAAAGAAAAATTGAAAAAACTGAAAAATTTTTTAAAATATTAAAACATTTATTACAGATTGTTAAAATAATATAAATTTAGTATAGAATTATTTTCCTTCAATATATATCAATATTTTTTAGATTCATTACAAACATATCGTATCCTTCAGATATGATTATGCTAATGATTATCAGTGTTATCAAATGTAATCAGTTGATTAAAAAATTTTGGGAAATTTTATGATGAAAAAAAATTTATGAAAATTATATAATCTTGCATGATGAAAGCTTTACGTTTTGCTATGAATTTATGAGTTCTGATATAGATGAGATAAGAAAAATGTAAAGTAAATAAAGTTAATAAAAATATGTGATAGCAATTTTTTAAATTTTTATCATGTTATCACTTAATGTTATTTAAATCATTTATCAGTAAATGGACATTAAGTGGACAAAGAAAAGAGCCTAAATAAAATTGACAGGATGAAGCAAAAATCTATTTGATATTTTAAAAAGAGAGGCAAAAAAGAGGATTAAAATAGCTCTTGAATTCAGCGAGAAGAGAAATTAGCTAATGGATCATGAATCCTTTCTCCTATTTAAAACAATAAGCATTTCTTAGATAAGAAATTGGCGACATGTCGCAATAATATCAATGACAATTTGCAATTGTTATAATGAGGACATTTTGTATACTTAAATTTTATTATTTTTATAGCTAATTAATCTCACATAATTCATTGGTATTGTTAGCAATGAAGGTAAATAATAGGCTAATTGTGAAATTATACTGCCACTGAGAGTTGCCAAAGCAATAAGACACAATATGCTATTCAATGGTACCCATTGTACTGAAGCTAAGGTAAGTAGTATGAATATCGTCAATCCCTGAAATACATACAATACATAAACTACGATATTGTACAGTATAGTAATTCAGAAATTGAGTTTAATTTTTTCAAAATATCATTACAAAATTACTTTTTCAAGTTTGAAATTATTTTCCTTATAATAATATTTTTTTCAAAATTTATAACAAATATAGGCTGACCTATAAAGGCAAGATAAGTGGATTTTATTCCAGCGGAATGATAGAAAACCAAAGAATTGTAATTCATATAGGAATTAAATATTTGAAATGAAGTTTTTGTAAAAAAAAATACTGGAAATGAACTTTGAAAGTAAAGTTATGCTAATCTTTCAAATATTCTTTGATCTTTTTCACAAAATATTCTTTGATCTTTTTGATTTTTTTTTAAATAAAAATTTTTTTTGTCTTTTTTCATTTCCCAAA